ACTACAGCCCGCAGCCGTTGCTATCCCGTCCGCGCCGTCTATTCCTCTAACGAAAACCCACTTCGGTGGTGGTGCGGGATGTCCAGGCGCTTTCTGAAACTTTTTTGTTTTTGTTTTAGTTTAATAATTAGTTACAATAATTTTTTTTTCAGTTCTGAAAATTAATAATAAAAAAAATATAGTGTAATGAACTTCATGAATTTCAAATGATCAAGGAAAATTCATTTTCTATTCAATTGACATGACACCTTTAATGACATCAATGTTTTTATAAGTGCCCAGTCGCTTAATGCGGAAGTTACTTCCATTCAGATTCATATTCAAATCTGTTGGCATGGAATCTTCTGTAAAAGACAGTAATCTCAGCAAAACCCAGAGTGCAAATGCAGCATTCTATATTTTTCTCTCTAAATTGTGCACGCGCAACCTATAACCTACACCCTCACACACTCCATTAGTGTAATCCAGGGTAATTGCAATGCCATAAGCGGAGCGTGAAAATGGGTAATTACAACAACACACAAAAAGCCTCTGTATCCCATCCCTGTTGAGTTGAGCTGAGACAAAAAACAAAAAAAAACCTGCCAGTTGGAGAGCTGAACCGCTCAACCCATTGCATTACACTAGAGGAGCATGTAAGCCCCAGAAAGCAATCAAACAACTTTACTTTCAGAATGCATTATTAAAACAATATTAACTTCATGAAACAGAAATCCTCTAATTGGCAGAACACCTTTGTATATACTCTTCTGGATTAATCTATTTGTTGCTTTTGTTCCTCTATTGTAAGTCGCTTTGGATAAATGCGCCTGCTAAATGCATAAATGTAAATGTTGTTCTGGGGTAACTGGCAGGTCAGGATAGGATAGGATATTACACTCAAAAAAAAAAAAAAAAAACTTATTCTCATTTTAACCTTGTGTTGTCCCAAACGTGTATGATTTTCTTTATTTTGTCAAACACAAAGATATTTGAAGAACGTTTCGGCTGTTTTTGTTTATACAAATAAAAGTCAGTGGGGTCCAATAGTTTCAAGCTCCAAAAAGGACATATAGCATAAATTAATGAATGAATGATGCATTTATATAGTTCATTCATCATTCATATAGCATAAAAGTAATCCATACAATGTAAGGTTTAATGTAAGTTTTCTGAAGTGATAAAATAAATTAAAGATCAATTCATGCATACAGAGTCTAAATCAAATATGTGACCCTGGACCACAAAACCAGTCTTAAAGGGGTGGTTGATTGCGATTTCACATTTTTAATGTTAGTTAGTGTGTAATATTGCTCTTTGAGCATAAACAATATCTGCAAAGTTACGAAGCTGAAAGTTAAATGCAAACGGAGATATCGTCTTTTAAAATTCTGGCAGTTTAATGCCTACAAAAACGGCTCGTAGGGACTACAACGAGCTTCTTCCCAGGTCCGTGGGCGGGGCTTCTTAAAAACAGGAAAAGATCAGCCCGTTTCTCAGAGAAGGGACAGAGCAGTGTGGAATAAAGGTAAATTATGTGAAAAATAATGCGTTTTTTTTTTTAAACTAAGAATTAACACATGTTAGACTGCACCCCATAAACACAATCAAGCCTAGATCATATTATTATCATTATCATCATTATTATCATAGATTATACATCATATGAAAGCTGAATAAACAAGTTTTCCATTGATGTATGTTTGTTTGTTAGGATAGGACAATATTTGGCCGAGATACAACTATTTGAAAATCTGGAATCTGAGGGTGCAAAAAAATCTAAATATTGAGAAAATCGCCTTTAAAGTTGTCCAAATGAAGTCCTTAGCAATGCATATTACTAATCAAAAATTAAGTTTTGATATATTTATGGTAGGAAATTACAAAATATCTTCATGGAACATGATCTTTACTTAATATCCTAATGATTTTTGGCATAAAAGAAAAATCCATCATTTTGACCCATACAATGTATTTTTGGCTATTGCTACAAATATACCTGTGCTACTTATGACTGGTTTTGTGCTCCAGGGTCACATATGTCAAATAATACGTCACATCAGTGTTATTAATTAGTTTTGAATTAGTTTTTATTTTGGTATTTTCTGTTTTTCTTTTAGTTGTAGTTTATGTTTTAGTATTTCGTTGTGTTTTTTTTTATTATTATTTGTCATTATTATTGTTTTATATATCTATATAGTTTTTTTATTTTAGTACATCAAGTTAAAGTAAATGAAAATGAGAAATGTTGCTTTAGAAACTAGCTGAAGGAAATACGATTTAAGTTTATTTTGACATAAGTTTATTTCTTTTATTTTATTTCAAGTAACACGTTTTTTATTGTTTTGCTTTTAGATAACTATATTAACCCTATGTCACATTAATAACATAAAACCTCATTGGTTCTTGCATGTCACGTGACTGAACATGTCATAACAGAAATGTCTGACACAAAAAGCAGTGAGGTTTGATGTAATTCATGCCTTTCCATATGTAATTTGGATTGTCTTTTGAAGTAAATAACCACTTACATTTTGCTCTGTTCATCATATATGCTACCTTTATGTCCTTTTTGGAGCTTGAAACTGTTGGACCCCATTGGCTTCCATTGTATGGACAAAAACAGTTGAGACATTAATCAAAATATCTTTGTTTGAGTTACACAAAAGAAAGAAATGTTTGCAATGCCATGAGGGAGAGTAAATGACAGACTTTTTATTTTTGGATTAACGATCTCTTTAAGAAACTGTCATGATTTTGATTAATTGTGCAGCTGTATCAAGAACCAAATTGCCTGAAACTGTAAAGCCCCAGAGTTTGGAGAGAAATCCCCACTTCCCACATAACATTCCCACAGTTGAACGACAATCTAAAATAACTTCTATCTGCAGAAAAAGCAAAGAGGAAGCCCAGACCGTAATACTGTTACAGTAATCCATACCTGTGACCAGCAGTCTTCCTGTAGTGCTGGCCGCACCAAACTGGTTTCTAGCCAAGCAAGCGTAGTTTCCCCCGTCCATCTTGGTCACATTTGTAATTCTAAGTGTTCCATCAGGGTGTAAAGTTATCCTGAAGGAGAGAAGCACAATCCTCTCAAATCACATTTAACCTTGGTTAACTCATAATGGAGCTAGATTCCGAGTACAAATGAGTTTTATCTTGTGGGCACAGTAGAAATGTAGTAAGAAGAACATAATGTGTTTCTTTAGAATGGCACATAAATCTCGGTACATTGGACACTCTCCGTGGCTCAGTGCATGCAGCTACCTGAAAGCCAATGAAGCTGAAGAGTGTGCGTTCACACGAAACGCATTCATTCAAATGTAAAGCCGGCGAGCTATAACAGCAGGCTGCATCGCTCAATCTACCGCCCCATCATTTGAATTAGACTTCCTTCCAAACCTTCATTGCCATTACTTCAGTAACGTACTCTTAATATACATGCTCTTAAGAAATACAAACCTTATTTCTGCAATATGTAGTTACACTAGTAATTAAAAAATTACATGACTGGATTAAGAAAAAAGTTTTTGGCTTATCAGCTGATCAATATATTTTAATAGACAGGGTTGTGACTTATTTTATATAATTATTTGTAGGTTCCAATTTGACATTTAGTAGATATTCACTATCATTCAAAAGTTTGGGGTCGGTAAGATTTTTTAAATGTTTTTGAAAGTGTGTCTTATGCTTAAGGCTGCATTTATTTGATCAAAAATACAGTAAATTAATATTGTGAAATATTACTACAATTTAAGTGTTTTCACATGGCCCTTCAAAAATCATTCTAATATGATTTAATCCTCAAGAAACATTTCTTAATATTATCAATGTTGAAAATGGTTGTATTTTTGTGAAAAACTGATGTTTTCTTTTTTTCCCTTTTTTTTTCTTCAAAGAAAGTTCAAAAGAACAGCATTTATTTGAAGGAGAATGTCTTACGCAACAATGTAAAAGACTTTACTGCCACTTTTTTGATCAATTTATTGCATCCTTGCTCAAGAAAATGATTAATTTCTTTAAAAAAAAATCTTACTGACCCCAAAATTTTGAACAGTAGTGTATATTATTCTTGAGATCTAAAGGAAATATAATTATATACATCCAAAACTACTTAGTAACGTTAATATTCTAAAGCAATTATATTATTTTTTATAAAATATTATGATAATATGTTTCTCTAGTTTTCTAGCATCTTTCTAGTATTACAACCATCCCTGTAATGGTAAATGCTTGTATCTTGTATTGAATTCAAAATTATTCTCAAGGCTTTCTTAATGTAAAAATGTAATGGTAATATTTGTGATGGCATATAGATGTACAGCAGTGTTTGATTTATGGAAAAAAAAATATATATAATTGCCCCCGTGCCTCCTTATATATCACCAGCTATTCACAATATATCATCCAGAGTAGCAGACAGCAAATGCTGGTAACCCAGCATTGGAATGTTAATGTTGTAATGCACAATTCCCCGGCAGTGCGCTTACAGTTAAATTGGACTTGGGCCGTCTCACCGAATGCTCTCAAAACAAACAACTGTGGCTTAATGCAAATCTATTGTTTTCCCACAGTAGTTCTGCACCCTTGACAGGATTCTCCCCATACTATTTAATCCAACTTCATTATAAAAAAAGCCAAGCTTGCGATCCGCTGTGCTTCCTCAAGTGGCCTCCTACCAGGAATCATTTCATACTTGACAGACTCAACCCAAAATGCCGAGCGACCTCCTGCTGGCCCGGCCTAATGGCCTGCTTCATAATTCATGAGTGTTATGGTCAGTGAGCTACCACAATTGGCAATGCAGCTTCCTTTTGATAACTGTTCAGCTGCAGGCTGTGCACAGATAGTGTGAACATAGTAGGGCTGCTGGGGGTGAAGCCTTGAACGAAAGATCAGAATGGTCAGAAAGAAGGAATAAGAGGAATTAAGGACAAGAATACAAAGAAAAGAGAGAAAAAACGATTGTATCCGTACCTGTCTGTGCTCTGCACCGGTTCGATGCCTTTCCTCCACATGCTGATGGCTGTGGGAAAGGCCTGGGGCCTGCACTCCATGGTGACTGTGCTGCCCATCTTGGCTTTAAGCAGAGCTCTGAGAGGGCTTCTGGAAAAGTCTGGGGGCGAGGCTGTGGAAAAACACATGGCCAAGAGAGTCAAACTACCGCCTCAGGCACGGATGCCCTGCGCGCATTACTGTAAACGGACAGCAGGGCCGAAAGCAGCATTGTGTGTGTGTGTTTGTGTGCACTGCTGATGTAGGACCACTTTAGCATTTTCTCTTAAAGGAACAGTTCAAGGCAAATTCTGGAGGGACTTCACTTGCACGCTCTCTGTTGTTTTAGCGCTTCACTAAAGGAATTATGCAAATCAGGTAAGAAAATTAGTGATGAATGCAATTTGCGTGGTGCAGTTCCCCATTATGTGGGTGGTTTTGAGCACTAGGTTGTGAAGGATGCAGTCGACTACCACAATGTTAGCAGGTCTTTATTAGGACCATACAAAAAAAAAAAAAAAAAAAGGGGGCAAAAATCGTACTTTTGGGATACAATATTTTCCATCATTTTATCTCTTTTAGGATAAATCATAAACTTAGTTTTGAATTAGTGTGTCTTTATGAAGTGGAATTATCTATCTATCTATCACTATGACAAAAAAATTTAATTGTAAAATATATTAAAAAATTAAAAATGTTACTATATTTACTGCATGTCTGATCCAGGGTTATTGTAGTTATCTAAAACTAAAACCATAAAAAAAAAAAAACATTTTCGTTACTTGAAATGAAATAAAAAATTAACTGAAATAAAATTATACCCTGAAATATTTCAGCTAGTTTCCAAGGCAAAATATCTCTTTTTCATTTAATTTACCTTAATATTCTAAAATAACAAACTAAAACGGAAATAAAATTAATAATCTATAATAATCTGTGGGGAAGTTGTGGGTGGGGAAGTTGTGGCCTAATGGTTAGAGAGTCGGACTCGTAACCCAAAGGTTGCGGGTTCGAGTCTCGTACCGGCAGGGATTGTAGGTGGGGGGAGGGAATGTACAGCGATCTCTCCCACCTTCAATACCACGACTGAGGTGCCCTTGAGCAAGGCACCGAACCCCCAACTGCTCCCCGGGCGCCGCAGCATAAATGGCTGCCCACTGCTCCGGGTGTGTGTTCACGGTGTGTGTTCACTACTGTGTGAGTGCACTTTGGATGGGATAAATGCAGAGCACTAATTCCGAGTATGGGTCACCATACTTGGCCACATGTCACGTCACTTTCTAATAATCTATATAGACATATTTAAAAACAACAAAAACTAATAAAAATGACAAATACAACAAAATTACAAAAAAAACTTTAACTAAAATTAACATGAAAACAGAAAATATAAAAATCAAATCAAATTGAAAATATGAACAAAAATATAATAGTATCTCAATGATACTAAAATAACACTGGTTTGTTCAAATATATGCAGCCTTGGTAAGCATAAGGGACTTCTTTCAAAAACATAAAACAATCTTTTCTGTCACTCAGTTTCTGACACTAAACTTTTAAAATTAATATTTTCTTTTTTTAATAAAGTTTTTTTTTCTTTCTTATCTCTTATATTCTTATATAAACAACATACAAGTGTACAACAACCTGAACATTAAAAAATAAAAACAGAACTTAATTTTTTGAGTGAACTATCCCTTTAAAAATGTATGACTATGGTATAAAACCCTAAACCTGTTAATAACAGGGATATAATAAGGGATAACATCAATCCATGCTGATATTACACAGTCAGTTGTCCAGTTTTTAAAGTAGCCATTATATGAAAGACATTTTCCGATAGCGATGACGCAACGCTAAAAGACTAGCACTAATTGGGTCTAATGTATCTCCTCTGCCGAGAAGCAGCGTTTATCAATGCTGTGAATGGGAAAGCTGCTTATGCACTGTCATAGCGAACACGCTGTGGCCTAAAGCATTGTTAAATAGCATCTCTATTACCTAATTAGCCCGTGGAGGGTTGCTGGCTCCTAAACAAATATCATTAGAGAAGACCAGAGAAGGAATTGGCTGCAGTCAGAAAGCAGAGGTGTCCTTAATGACCTCTACCCACTTTCCACCATCTCTCTCTCTCTCTCTCTCTCTCCATCTCTGTATGAGCCGATGACAAAGATCTTTCTCTGGTGTTTGTCACTGTCTACTCAATGGTTTTTCCACCCAGTGAACCCTTCAGTTGTGGCTCTGTCATGTTGTCAACAGAGCGGCCACAGTTCCTCATCTCCCACCAGCCAATCAATAGTGGATTAACATTACTGAAAGTCACAGTGCCATGCCAGCCCACTCTAAATGTTCTGATGGGAAATATTGAAAAGAGGGCAGCTTGGTGTGTGCTGTGAACCCATTTCAAGAGTTTATTTGCCTGTAAAAACTTCAGTGCACACCAGTGGATGAGAGCTGTGTTCTGATATTCATAATCAGCCATACTGCAGTTTGAACCCTTTTTTTTTTTTGCAAAAGGAAGAAGAAGAAGAAAACAACCCTCAAGCACACTGTAAATATTTTTTTTTAAGTAAAAAGGTGCTCTAGTCTTAGTTTACTCAACTTACTCTAGTCTTAAATAGGTAACCTGACACCTAAATGCTATTATAACAGTTCTCAATGTTATTTGTTAAAAGCAAATTAAGCGTTGCTTCAGAAGTGTTTACATTTATTTTTCAGCAAATTAAAAATGTGTGGCTTTTATACAGCTATTCAAGCAGTCTCAGTAACAATAGTACAATACAGTACGATAAACAATAGTATAAAAAAAAAAATCACAATTTATTTTACGGAGTTTAAAATAAAATAAAATAAAATAAAAAATACACATTTTGTTATTTAAATATTTTTCCAAATTTTAATATTTTTTAATATTTCTCCAACTGCTTTAACTACATTAAAATAACAATATTCATATAGCATCACATCTGCCAGTCTTAATTCACTATATCTACTCTAGTTTTAAATAGGTAACCAACACCTACATGTTATCATGATGCTATTTACATTTTTTTAAATGAGAAATGTATAATGTATAATAAATGTAACGTAATGCTTATACAGTCATTCAAACAGTCTCTTTCATTATTGAAACAATAGTATGAAAAAATAAAATAAAATAAAATATTTCCATATTTATAAAATATTTTAGTTTATATACATTAGTTTATAGAAAGATTTTAAATGTTATACTGCCAATGCAGAATTGCAACCAAAAAGCAATGTAATGAAATGTTGTAGAAATGTTTTGTGTTTGCTGGGATGGTGCTGCTTAGTGAACAAAGGCACAAGATGATTGGAAATGAGAAAGAAGTGATTCTCTTACCTAAAACCACCAATTCAGCACCGAAATAAATGATTCCGTGTTTGTTCTCGGCGACACACTGATACATGCCAGCATCTGAGAGGTTTACGGAGCTGATTGTCAGGGCTCCATTCTCTATCTGGATCCTGTCCTGTGAAACAGAGCAACAGCAATGAAGAGAATTTTAAAATAGCTGTGCATTCAACTCAAACAACGACGACTAAGACTGAGGCTTTATATAATCAATACAACTTTGTTATGTACATTTAACAGAGCTCCCCTGCTGAGGTTTGACCCAAGGATCTTTGCACTGCCATCCCAGATTTTTTACCACTACACCATTACTCTGTGCACTGCTTGAATTTTACCTCAGCTGCCAGTAGTTCTCCATTCTTCAGCCAGCTGTATGAAGGTTTGGGCTTCCCATTGGCCTTACACTCCCAAAACAATCTCTCTTCAATTGACAAAGCGTTGTCTCGCATCGTCTGAACCCACTGAGGCTTTGCTGAAGAGACAAAAGTCAATTGTTTTTATGAATTAATTTATCAGTCATTTTTTATACATTATTTTTGTTTTTGAATGACAAAGACATTTCTCTGGTCTTTGTCGAGATCTTTCTATGGTCTTTGTCACTGTCTACTTGAAGATTTTTCTCTCAGTCATGGTCATGTTGTCAACAGAGCAGCCACAGTTTCTTAGCTCAGTATTTTTCATGTTTTATGCTCACCAAGGCTGCATCTATTTGATCATAAATACAGTAATATTGTGAAATATTATTACAATTTTAAAAAAGTGTTTTCTATTTGAATATATTTAAACTGTAATTTTAATAAATACATTTTCAGCATCATTACTCCAGTCTTCAGTGTCATATGATACTTCTGAAATCATATACAGTGGGTACGGAAAGTATTCAGACCCCCTTAAATTTTTCACTCTTTGTTATATTGCAGCCATTTGCTAAAATCATTTAAGTTAATTTTTTTTCCTCATTAATGTACACACAGCACCCCATATTGACAGAAAAACACAGAATTGTTGACATCTTTGCAGATTTATTAAAAAAGAAAAACTGAAAAATGCTCAGTATTAAGGGGGTCTGAATACTTTCCGTACCCACTGTATATGCTGAAATATGAAATATGCGGATTTGCTGCTCAAGAAACATTTCTTATTATTATCAATGTTGAAAACAGTTGTGCTGCTTAATATTTTTGTGGAAACTGTAATAATGTTTTTTTCCCAAGATTCTTTGATGAATAAAAAGTTTAATAGAACAGCATTAGAAATATATAATATAATATTATTATTAGAAATAATAACTTTCATCGGTTTAAAGTGTCCTTGCTGAATAAAATAAAAATAAAAAACTCTTACTGATAGCAATCCTTTAAATTGTAGTGTATAAATATTACAATCTTGATTGATAGGTTGACACAAAATATTTTTAAATTCTACATGCTAGTTAATGTCTGAAGAAAACACTATATTATTAAGAAACACACAAAGCTATTCTCAGGCTACTTTGTCTAACTTTAAAATAACTTTTTTTTTTCTAAATGAAAACTCTTCTCTGCATTTCTCCTCTTTTCCAGCTTGCCTCCTAGTTGTCTAAAAAACACAGCATTGTGAATTACAATTATTTTTGTCTCTTTGACAAATTGCTTTGTTACTTTAGCTTTGGATAAAAGCATCTGTTAAATGCATAAATATAGTACCACATCTGCCAATCTTAATGAAAACGGAATTGTTAAGGCAAGCATTTTTAAAATTGATTATTGCTTAGTTATTTCTTTTTCTTATTTTATTTATAAATCAATCATTTTCTTACAATAAAGACTTTCAGTGAGGGAACTGAGCCATATATAGGGGACTAGAAAATCATAGAGACTTGGGCTTGTGCTCTTTTGATCTAGTAACATGCTAACATGTAACATGCACAATGATTTTAGGGTTTGGCTTTGCTGAAACATGGGCACTCTTTTATCCAATTAACTGGAAGCACAACATGTCAATAAGTACTTGATCTATCCGTCTTCCTGATTGAAAAGGCGGCAGATTTCCATTCATGTCCCTGATTCTGTCTAGATTAATGATTGAACAGTCAAACACGGTTCTATAATGTGACACTCTCCTCATGTTCTGCGTTGTTGATTCCCACCAATCACACAAGATCCGTGTAAGCATGGCTATAGATGAATCACCAATCACCATTCACACTAACGGTGCTTGCAGGTTTTGTGGCAACTAAGCACTAACCTGATCGATCGGAGTCACGTACTGATTGACTCATCAAAAAAAAAAAAAAACTGATTAGCTCCTGTTTTCCAAGAATTAATTAAACCCAAACATCTATGAAATGCATAAGCTGACCAACCTCGCAACTGTTATCAGTTCTTCTTTTCTATGCTTTGGCCTTTTTCAAAGAGTTTGGCATACTGCATTATACAAGGACGCTTGCTCTCTGACAGCACTGGGAAGAAAAGCTTTCATGTTTTTGTATCGTTTGTGGAGGCCGGGTCTTTTCAGAAGAAGGTCAGAGTTGCACCTGCCCCTCTAACCTTCTCAATAACCTTGGGAACGAGCGAACTCACATTCACAATAACAGCATTTCATCTGGGAACTTAGAAGTGGTGTGTACAGAGATGTGAGTGGAAAGAAAACCTTTGAAATCCCAGCTGTCCAATGCAAAAGCGCTGTGCTGATTTGCACTTCAGTTTTGTTTATATTGTATTTCACTAATGGGTTCCTTGCAAGTGTTTTTCTTTTTTGTATATATTTCCATTTATTTGAATCAATAACACCACATGTGAAAGGTTGCCATACCTACGAGATATTCAGTAGCTGTTCAGCTATCAATTATCTTAGGAAACATTTGCTATTTTTATCTTGATATTCAATCATTTTTCAGCACACTATGGCCAGTAATTCTGTGTGTAGCTGGTGATCGCCACATCATTAGGTTGAGGCATGTTCTTCTTGATATTGTGTCAATGGAAAATGACAGACCCAAGGAGCTAATGATTCTCACATGCTGACTTCTAGTGCCTAATAATCCTTTGAGTCATGTCTCGCCTCCAAAAATGGGCTCAAAAGTGCTTAACTTCCAGATAGACCTGTAATTTGTGCACATTTAACCGATATCCCTTTGGGCCAGACTTTGGTGTAAGATTTGGAACAGAAGCTTTATCTTATAAAACTAAGGTAAAATAATGAATACAATTGGAGAGTAAAATGGCCAAGATAATAAGAGCTGACCTAATTGCAGCGTCTGAAGTGTTAATAATGAGTAGCATTATTAACTACAATATGATGATTATGAATAATACACCAGAGGTGAAATTCTTCAGGCATGTGTATTTAAAGTGAAGAAAATATCAGAGATCTAATACATAAATATACCTATCTATCTATCTATCTATCTATCTATCTATCTATCTATCTATCTGTCTGTCTGTCTCTCTGTCTATCTATCTGTCTGCAAAAAAATGCTATTTGTCAATCTATGTTTTGGCTCTATAAAACTGTAACCTTTCTGGATCAACGAAAGTGTCTCAAATTAGCATTTAGCATTGCTGAGTCTTGGCACACTGCAACATCACGCTGCCAAATCCGTATATTGGTCTTTACTATGCGGTTATAGAAACTATAAGAAAGTCAGACAGGGCAGAACGTAATCAGAAAGCAATTCACTGCGATTGTGAAATGACCGAACTGGCAGGGTTCCTCTTGGTAAACGCTGGCAAGAATTCTAATGGTTATGACAACAATAATATCCATTAAGTACGTTTTAAATTATTAGCAAACATTAATTTCAATGACAGACAAAACGATATGGCAAAGACGACCAGCTTTTGCAAATCCTACTAATATCCAGCCAATGTTGAAATAATTACACAACTGTGCACAGAATAAAATTATATAATGGATAAAACAATCATACCATGTGTATCTACTGTAGTACAATAACACAGTGGACACAATGTAACATTTTTCCAGTTTATTTACAGTATGTTCTTAGCAACTCATTGCCATACTTTCACAGCAATTTTTACGGTAATATTTGTACAATGTCAAAGGAAGATTAAACCATTTACGTGATTATACAACAATGGAATGGTATTGTATTTTATTACAAGAAATTGCTGTGAAATTTTGAAAAATCCTTGTCATTTTTTTATGGCAAAAATGAATCATGTGCACTACTAAACATAAAATTACTATGAGTGAAATAATCATACCATGGAAAGACAGTCGTCCTTGCACCATGTTCTTTCCCATCTTGTTCTCTGCTACACATTCATAGCCTCCGGCGTCCTCCTGCTGGAAACTGGGAATCTCCAGAACTACATTTGAGTTCTTCATCTTCACCTTGCTGGGAAACGGCACTCCATTCGCTCTCCTCCACGTTATCTCTGGAACTGGGCTGAATGTATGAAAAACTATGGTGAGTAATCTTGCAAAAGCAAAAGAGAAAAATGAAAAGCTACACAGAGAGAAAAAAGAAGGAAAGAACACAGAGTGAGAGAGAGAGAAACATAAAAGATGAAGATAAAGAATGGAAATTTTGTATAATATCATTATACTGTAGATTACTGTCGTTCCTCCTCATATCTCAGCTCTAACATACTAAATGACTTACATTTCCTCATAAGACACCATCTCATTTATTTTTGCAAGGCATACGTATATGGCTCATCCACTAATGGGATCAATTGAGACAGAAAAATTGCCTCAAGGCAAAAAATAGACTGTTATACAGATTTTGACAAGCATGTTTAAATGGTGGCGAGAAGAGGTGGAAAAGGGCCAAGTTGTAAAACGCATTAAACTCAGTGACAGAGTACCATTAAAAGTCAGGATAGCCGTAAAGGAAGGAATCGGCATCAGTAACTACAAAAGGGTGAGGAGTCACACCTACTTCCCCAAAGCAAAACACTCCAGTGTCACAACAGATCCCTTTGCGGCTGGAACCATGTCAGAGAAATGAACCTCTATTTTCGGCTCATATTCACCCATTACGCCTATAAAGAAAAAAAAGTGTTATTTTTCCATTCATAATTCATTCACTGATCTAAAATAGTAGAAAATACATATGAAATAGTGTTAGTAGGTGAACAGCTTTTTTTTTTTTTTTTTTTTCTGAGAACAGGCAGCTAAAACAAAGGCAGCAAATAATTCATACCATCATCTGGAGTCTGACACAACGTAGAGAGGTGTGGTGTTTGCTGCAGTTTTTACAGTGTTGGTAAATATTTTATTCAGCCATTGTTTATGTTTACTTTATATAAGGCAAAGTATATTTAGGACTGTGAAAGAATCTCTTGGAGAGTAAGCAGGGTTGTCTACGAAGCTCTGACTTCTAAAAAAACACTGTCTAAAACTAATTTACACTTTAAATTAGTTACGTAGAAGTGTTTGCATGGTTAACATGCTGTCAAGTCGACACCAGAGAAAGTGTTTTCGGTGTTGCTTTCAAATTCTAAGCAAAATAAATTAGTGTTATATTTAAATTCCAAATACAAAGACAGAGATATATCAACTATACATCTGCATTATTCAATATATTTCATAAACATTGCATCAGAACCAAGTGCCAACACCAATCGGTTCTCTCTTTTCGGTGAACTGGCCGAACATGATTGTGAACAAGTCTATTCGCGTTTGTTTGGACCGCTTTCTCACTGAATCACATAAGTGGAGCGTGTCTTCCCCTAGCCACGGCATGACACTCATACCTAAAGACTAGTTAATAGATTGCACAAACATTAGCCCAGCAGGCACACAACGTCATAAGACGCTGATATTTGGTTAAATTTCGGTTGCGATGTAAAGTAACCAAAATCCAATGTTAAGCCGACGTTAAAACAACATAAAATTGACGTCAAATACTGACGTCATCCCAATTTTCATTTTCAACCAAAATGCAACGTCTGTCCGACATTGGGGTCCAATGTCAACCTAACGTTATATTGATGTCCAGTGCCTGCTGGGAGGCTACAGCCTTATACCCTGGAACTGTCTATATGTGTCTATGTGTGTGTGAAGGATATCATTCATTCAAATCTAATATGGAACAAATTTAAAATCCTGCTACGGACAAAACAAAACAGCAGCATACTGTATATTTGTTTATTCCACCATGGGAATTGAACCCAGGTCCAAAAAAAATGTACACATATACTTTGCTGTTAGCCCAACTAGACACGTCATTTTTTGTTGCATAAGAACATGTTAACAATTTACTTTAAGCTCTTGAAGTTTTTAATATTTAATATTATGTGGGCCGAGTTGTGTGTTAATGAAGTTTTCATTTTATTATTTTACATGATACACTATATTAAAGCACTTTATTTAATTGTATATGTACGTGGTGGAAGATGGAGCTGGTGGGACCTCCTACAGCAAGTTCAAACAAACCTGATTCTTAACTGCATCAACAGGTCAATCAAACCCTTTAGTGATGATATTATGATTTAGCTTCTGCCTACTAAATTGCCCACAGGAAAAAATGTTGATATTTACCATCAGTTCGTAGTACCAGAGGGGTCGGGGAGCTGAGGACTTTGCCTTTAGTGATGCGGTTTACCACCACGCACGTGTAGTTACCCACATCTGAGGGCTCGACTTTGGCGATGTAAAGGTTTCCCGTCTCCTGAGAGACAAAGCGACGATTGTCTTGCTGAACAAAGTAAGGGTACTCATTAAAGACCCATGCAAATGAGAGATCTGGAAAGGAGATGGGGCACAGAACATATATAATTCAAAACAAATAAACTAGGCTAGCCAAACACTCTTGGGAACTTAAATGAGAAATTCTTTGTACTTTTTGGTATAATCATTAGGGCTCCGATAACACTTTTCTTTCCCAATAGCACTACTGAAATCTGACCCAGGTATATCCAAAATTATCTTAGGGTAATTAGAAGCCTAAGCTGTATAAAACGCATCTTTATAAAAAACTAAAAAAAATGTCAAGCCAAACAATAGGTGCGTAGACTCAAAGATCAAATGAAATGAACTCACATACTTGAAAGCCATTAAGTCCTTCAAATTTGTACACATTTTTAGAGGCCACAAGGTGCAAAACCTTATTGTGTTCAAGTGTTTGAATCCTGTGGTCTCTAAAAATTATTTTTCTTTCGACAAAGCGTGCACGCTCTTCCCATTCAAAACACATATTAAATCCAATGGAGTACACTGATAAGTCAGAGCTCTGTATTTCACACATGTGTACAGCATATTTATGCTAAACTAGACTATAAACCAAAAAAGTAACACTATAAAAGCTTACCTCCTGCATATGATGGTGTACCACAAAGTAAAACTACCCCCTGGCCTTCTCTCACAGAGACAGCACTTCTCGTTTGAGTTTTTAAATGTAAGTCTGTAAAGCACACACACACACACACACACACACACACACACACACACACACACACACACACACACAACAGTCAGATGATACAGCAGTGCCAGACATGAGAATGAAATGAAAATACCTTAGAGCTGATTTCTTTTATCCCAGCTTAACATGTAAACATTTCTGTGTTTTATTCCAATAAATAATTAAATTCCACACAAGAAAACAAATCTAGTGATTGTATGTAGGCTACACTATAAATTTTTTACACTGTAAAACTAAAATTTATGCCAATTATAATTCACAAGTCAAAAGAACTCACTCCTCTGATCATAGTAACATGTTCTTGCCATTTCTTTATTGTCAGTGTTAGACTTCTAATATACATATTTTTGGTGGAGAGTGCTGTCACTCACATTGGTCCAAAATCCATTTTGGTCAACCGGTTCAAAATAGGTGTTCAAATGGGTTGAGATATGGTGACCATACATGTCCTATGGTTGGGGTCACTGTCAACTTCCCATCAGGATAGAAATTGTTCATCATTGGATAAACTCTGGGGTTGTGTTTCAGTGTGAATGGACCAAAACGGAGACTTTTAAAAACGATGGCATGGCTGCCCACATTCGCTCTGCATATCCTTGACGACCGTGTAAACAATAACATCATGCTCATTGTTGTACCTGCATGAATGGTCATGTGACATGCGTTTTCGGTTGTGTAGTGTGGACGGAGATCGTTTCTGAAACACAGTGTAAACGCAAGTGTAGATGAGGATCGTTTTAATTTTAAAATGCCGTTTTAAAACAAAAACGCACTAGTGTAAACAGGGCCTAAATAAGCTATTCTTGTGTATGTATAAGAATGTATGTATGTATGTTTTTATAGTATATTTACTCTATTTAGTAAAGAGTAGATTTCCACCAAATTATAAGGTTAGTTCACTCAAAAATGAAAATTCTTTCATCATTTACTCACCCTCAAGGTTTTCCAAACCTGTATGAGTTTCCTTCTCCTGTTGAACATAATATTTTTAAGAATGTGTGTAACCAAACAGCTGCTGGTCCCCAATGACTTCCATCAATTTAAAAACAATAAATAAATGAAAAATTGTTGTTGTTGTTTCAATTTTAAGTAAGTGTTCATGATGTCTTATAATTTGAAGTTTAATCAAATTAAATATCTAAGTTGTCACTTAGCTTCACATTTCAAGTTGATTGAACATAAAATTAAGTGTTTGCGTTGCCTTAAAATTTTAAGTTGATACAACAACACACACACACACATATATATATATATATATATATATATATTTTTTTTTACAGTGGTATGAATACAATTTCTATGGAAGTCAGTCGGGACCAGAAACTGTTTGGTTATCCACATTCTTCTTTTGTGAAGAAAGAAATTCATACAGGTTTTGAACAACTTGAGGGTGAGGAAAAGACAGAATTTACTTTTTCTTAAGCTTGTCTGTAGTTGTTATGACACCCAATAATAGCACAGATTCTTCTAGAACCTCCCCTGCTCACCAACATCAGTAACATTTTCTAGCTGATTACAACAACTAAACGCAAGTCTGGAGAAAAAATATATTTTTTACACCCTTTTTATACTTCTGGGTTTGGAAAACTGAAGTCAACTATAGCAGGGTACTGTAGAGGTACATGGGAGACTACATATAAGCTATTCGCTGGTCTGAAAATACATTAAACAGCACTTGCATCTGTCAAAGCACTTGACAGAGCAAGCCATATTAAAATATACGCTTAAAGAGTTTGTTTAAAGCACTTAATGTAACATTAAACATGACGCATCCTCATGTTTTGGGCAGTTTGTATTGTGCATTTTCCTGCACTGCTTACACTGTGACCTCTGCTATTTTTCAGATGTGTTTTATCCATTAAAATGCATTATTCACTGCTGTAAAATGAGGTGGCTAGCAGAGGCTGTCCATGAACACACACAGATTAATTAATGAAATAAAAAGCCATTGTTGATTATTTTCATTAATGATTATTAGCTGTTTGCTATTTGATGCCAGAAAACATAATTTGTTTTGTGGCTGCATTCAGTAATGTCAGTAGCATAGAAATCACACTTTTTGCACACAGTGATATACCTTTAAAATAATGCAGAAGAACATGCATAGCATGCACAGGAAATTTCTAACAGTCTGTATAATTAGTTTGATCCCAAACAAACTCATTGTCATGAATCCGGTCCATGAACTTCCGTCTGCTAGCCATCAGAGGTCACCCTTTCCATTACATTGACTCTCGCACTACACAAACGGTTGCATATCATCCCGGACTACATATCCCATCATTCATTGCACTGATTGCACACAGCACTGATTGCACACAGCACTGATTGCACACAGCACTGATTGCACACAGCTGTTTCATATCACTCACTCACTATATAACACTCACTCAAACAACCATTCTCTGCCGAGTATTGTATGCGCTTATCGCCAGCAGTGATAGCTACTCTACAGAGCCCTCTTTAGCTTCCTAGCCTAGCCTAGCCTAGTCTTGCCTTGCCTTGTCTGTTTTCTCGGTTTTTGATCTGTGCCTGTTTTTCCTGGATTTATCCCTTTAGTCTCGCCCTTGTGATCCTGTTCGCCAATCGTTGACCTACGCTAGCCCTAGGACTATTCTTGTGTCTTGCCCGCCATATACCTGTTTGCCACCGTTCGACCCTGCCTGTGTTTCTGACCTCCTCTGCTGGTAATAAAGCTTGCATATGGATCCGCACGTCTCACGTCTTGTCAGCCCCGTTACAGAATGCTCGGCCACACAAGGATCCAGGAGCTGTTCAAGTGGACATTGGCCAGGTATGGACGCGGCAAGAATTTTATTAGCCCTTAAACAGGGTCCATGATCATTGGAGAACCATATTCGAGAGTTTTTAGCCATCGCTCACTATTCTGATTTACCAGACTGTTTATTGATAGAGTTTTTCTGCGATGGCATAAATCAACCTCTTAGGTCTAAACTTAGACGCGAGGGTCCACGTTCATCACTCGCTCAGTTAATGGATTATGCCTTGTTGACTGTTGGATCTCGCACATCTCACGTCTTGTCAGCCCCGTTACACTCATAACATTTAAACATACATTTTTGGATATATGCTGAAACGTATATGGACTTATACAATACAGATATTCGGACAGTAAAAGTACTAAAATGTAAAAGTATTTATGTATGCACTTTAGAAACATAAAAATCCCTTAGTGGCAGATAAATGTACAGTGACAATAATGTTAGTTTCAATATAATATTACATTAGGGGCGTTTCCTCCGAGGAGGCAAGTGAGGCAGTACCTCCTCAAAAAATTAGATGAAAAAAAAAATCATAGTACAAAAATAAAACAACACAAAAATGACAAAATATGACATAAAAAGCGTATAAATCACAAATTTTTCTAAAGTAAAACTGTCCAGCAATGACACCAGCAGGTAAAGTTACAGAGGGGGCCTGCGTCTCTCTCGCCTCCCCTGAGCCCATTGAGTTTTAACAGACCCCCTAAAGCATGCGGTGAGTTTGGTGGGGGGTAATTGAGAATGAATGGGGGAAGCAATGCCTCCATTGCGATTAGGGCTGGGTAAAAAATATCGATATCTCGATATTAATCGATTCTCATTTTTACGGAACAATATCGATTCTTAAATGCCCAGAATCGATTAGTCAAGCCTGTTTTCAGTTAATGGACGGAACATTGAAGGGTACTTTCCATCCAATAAATCGCAATAAGCATTGTGCTTTGGTACTTTTAATATGAAACAAAGTCTCAGATTTCAAATTCTGTCCATTGTGTTTGAATCATCACGTTTTTATGACAGCCACCATTGTGTTTATATTTCAAACAAATTAATTGAAGTAGAAATATTATGTAATTGTAACATTATTATTTTAAAAGCTTCATTAAGTGTAATTTTAACAAATCAGTCAATTTTAACCTTCAATATTATAGTAATGTAGTGCCAACTGACTCTCATGTATATTTTACAGCATTAGTTGAGGGATTTTTTTTCCTTGAGAAAATTTGGCATGTACTGTACCTGATATATATATCCAAAATAATCGATATTGAATTGAATCGAATCGAATCGCAAGCTTGTGAATGAGAATCGAATCGTGAAATTTGTGTCAAAATCCAGCCCTAATTGTGATATGATTGGATACGACTGGTTATGATCAACTGTGATTGGTTCATGCGATAAATCCCGCCTCTTTTGTATGTGGGCGTTCCCCGTTTGCGAATCAGTCTGAATGAACAATATAACGGAGTTAATGGGAAGAGTAATAAAAAAGTAAGTAAACAACTCACACAGTTATATATGTAGCGTCTGGACCACTCAAACAATACATATATCACCACTTTGTCAAGTCAAAATCAAACTTCAAATGGCCTGAAAACATGATCTGTGTTTTTTTTTTTAGTGATCAATCAGCTTGTTGAAATTAAAGGTACATCTCCGCATCTGTGACCAGTGTTTACCGAGCTCTGATGACTGATGATCTAAAAATAAGTTTATTATTACAAAGAACAGCTGAACATCAGTTTATAAATAAAATATATATATTTTTAAATGAAATATATTGTTTAAATTGTTACTGCCTTGAGTTATTATTTTGGAATACATGCAAAATGCTTAAAAAACACTAAACTGATTAGATTTATACTTGGTTTTAATAAATAGAATAGCCTATTAATTACATTGTTAATGTAAAAATAGAAAATAGATTTTTATTCTGGTAGTGTAAGTATTGTTTATTTAACCAAGAATATGGGACATGCATTTACATTTAATAATAATAATTAAAAAAATAAAAATAAAAAAAAAACTGTGAGGACTTTGCCTTTGCGGTTTCAGAACTGCATGCCACTGTATTACATGTACATATTTATTTTGAGTCAAATTAGTTAAATGTGTTAAATAAATGTAATGGAATTGAAAATATTTAATTGTCATTAATTACATGCAATAAAATAAACCGATTAATAACACAAACTCAATATTTTATGAATCTTTGTAAACATTAGTACGTTTCTAAAGTCTTTCATATACATATACATGTCAATACATTAATAATGTGCGTTTTTAGTGTCAATACCAGAGTTGGCCAAACGTTTTACTGTGAAGGGCCAAAAATCTTTAGAAATATAAAAAAAAAAGTGGCAGATAAAAGTACAGTGATAATTTTAGTTTATATATATATATATATATGTGTGTGTGTGTGTGTTTGTGTTGAATACATGTTATGGAATTTAATGCAATTAAATCAACCGATTAATAACTCAATATTTTGAATTCAAAAAGATTTGTAAACATTTGTAAGTTGTTAATGCTGTAGGCATATAATATCTTAACAATGTATGTTTCAGTGTCTATATCAGAGGTGCCCAAACATTTTACTATGAAGAGCCAAAAATCTAACTTTAAGGCTTTGGGCTGATACTAAATGCTGCATTATGTTCATCTATAATTATAAATAATTGAATTAATGATTTAATGAATTATTGTAGGAGCTATATTTGCATTAGTTGCATTAAGGTTTTGATAACTCTTTTTCTCTCTTCTTTAAGCTAGTCCAATATTGGCAGCATCCACTCTAACACCTGTCACCCTGCATTGAGCGGCTGAGGTGCTAATATAGCATGCTAACGCACAATCGATGACTCACATGCAAACTGGAGGCTCGCTCTTCTGCTAAGAATTGCTCCCTGTGGGTTGAAGGCAGTGCACTGGTATATTCCTCCATCCTGGGCACGGTCCAGACTCCTAATGACCAAATTTCCTCCAGATTGCCGCCGACGGGAATCGGTGCTGAGATTAATCAATGTGCCGTTCAGAGACCACCTACAGACACACAAACAGACAAATGATAGTGCACACAGCTCAATGCGGATTTTGAGTGATTTTTCGTGATAACTTTTGAAATGTATTTTGTTTTGGATGTACAAATGTCATATGGAATATCAATGAATCATTACAAAGCATATTCAGATTGGTATTACACTTCATCCCTGATTCATTTCAATAAGAAAATAAACATTTCAAAATCTGAACAGTCTGATGGCCTATGAAAATGTAGTGAAGAAAAGCTATACTTTTTCTCATTGAACATCCTGTTTCACTTGGAAATGCATCATATTAAACAGGTAAAATCATTTGCAAACGGCAATTCACGTCGACTTTTTATGTTGAAAGATTTCCCGCAGCTCTTTTGCTGTCCTTTTCATTGTGCAATGATTAACGCCGGAGAGTATCATCAATTCCACTTTCTCACGCCTCATCTATGCCTATCATTAAGACCTAAGACCCAAGACCACCTGAGGCCCTAACCACTAGCATGCAATTCAGAGGACAACCCGCTAATGTGGACAGATTTTCAAAGGGCGCAAGATCATTTAAGGATCCTGAGGCCTCACTAGTCATTCACTCTGACAGGGTGTCAGCTGGCTTTGAACTCCCATAGTTCAACTGTGTCTGCACACCCCAGGAACAGATGCTGTGTGCTAATTTACTAGCATGAGCAGTGAATGCAAATAAGCGAATGGAGGTGTAAATACAAAAACAAAAACGTATAGAGTTGTGATAAAGGCCCCCCATTGTCCACAACAATATTCAAAGGCTCTATGACTTTCCCAGCTTGCAATTTACTGGACAAGGACTAAGCATGAGGATTTTTACAAATATTTTTAACTCAGTTGCTGACAGGTTATAATGAAATAAAAAATGTCTCGATTTGTAGTTGCTTTAGTTTACTTTAATGTTTGTTTTGCCTTAAAATTATTTTAAAGTCATCTTGAGGCCTCTCGAAAGTTTCACTGGTTGAGAACTGCGTTATAGATCAATCCCACAAGACTGGTAACATTAACCCTGTGTGGTATTTTTAGTAAGTTATGCATACTTGTGATAAAAAATTATTCACGCTAGCACACTGAAAAGCAAGACTCCGTTTAATTTTTATTCTGGCAAAACAAACCAATATATATATATATATATTAATAATAAATAAATAATAAAAAACATTATAAAATATAATAAAATAAAATAATAAATGCATTTAATAATTAATATTCCACATTTATGAAACAACATTCCTCTCATATTTCCAAAACAAGATATCTCAGGATCACTTCCATACTGAGGAAACAACAACAACTTTTAAAATATTGGCAAGTATCCTTCAAATGTTTTTTTAATAAAGTATTGCTTTAATAGGGTCAAGTGAAAAATGAGTGGATTCTGATTAACTTAAACACCTCTGATTGGCACTTCAAGGAAAGTGATAAATATGAAGTGTTTGAAAGCAGCTGCAGAAAGGCTGGTATTGTTACATCTTTCAAATTTACACCAATCTTGACTTTTCATGGCCGACTCCAATACCGATTTGTTAATATTTATTTCATTTTTTAAAGCAAGAGATAAGATAGAATTAAAATATGAATATATGAACAAGAAGTTTTTTGCTCTATTACAGGCCGAACTCTCTGTAGCCATTCAAAATTAGAGGCAAACACTGCATTTGAATCACAATCCAAATAAAGATGCTACATACATGAGCAGTTTCTGATTTAATGGGCTTTGTTCACAGTTACATTCGGTGCAGCACCAGAAGCCATTTTTGCTATTGGTGTTAACTGTGGAGACACCGCGGGAGAAGCTGATATTTTACACTCACTTTTTAAAAGAACTTCCCCAGATTACTGTGAACGATGTAAATCGCATTGTGAGGCAGTCAGCTGTCACTCCTAACAGCAAGATGGAGAGGTTTCGAGTTTCATCGTCACTTTGAGGGTAAGTTTTCTCATGCTATATTCAACTAGCGAATCTAGCTAAGTCCCAGTTTCTTACAGTTCATACCTGTCATTTCATTTTGACTGATGTGGTTGTTTATGCAACGTATAAGATTTTTGGCCTATGTATATTAACTGAATAATTTCTCAATTTCTAACAGGAATCAGGTGACAATGAGAGATAAGCGTGAGGGTGTTGTGTTTCATGTCAGTGAGGAAGGCAAGATATTAGCTTAAGTCTGATTTAAATGCTCGTTTTATACAACCGTTTTTGAGGTTTCTGTACAAAGACAGAGATTAAGATTTTGAATTTGGGCATAGTACTCCTTACAGTATATGGATATGCAAATAGAATATTTCAATATTAAACAATATTTAATATTTAACATATTTCTATTTAAATTTCCATTAAAATATTGAACAAATATTTAAATAGAATATTAATACATGACTTTTGTTATAGTTTAATTATCTTCACAGTGTGTTAAAGGACTCCCTCCCTGTATTACTGTCCCGCAGCATGTTGTTCCTGTGATGCTGGGACAGAACTGTGTGACCGCAATAATGCTGCACTACTGTACCAGACAGCACAACACTCGCAGCTTGACATCAGTGAAGTTCCTCCTGTACATAGCTGCATTGAAAGAAAACAGAGCTGGCACAAACCTAGAACAATGGTAAGTTTAAGTGAATTATTTCACTGTAAAAAATGACCGTGAATTTAACCGCAAAAGATAGTAAAAATGCTACAGTAAAAACCTGTTAAATGGTTAACGGTAAATTCCCCTACTATATACGGTGAAAAACTGTATTGGACAATACATGTATTGGACATTAATTTTACGGTAGTATACCGTTTTTGGAAGTGAAAAAGACCGTATAATTTACAGTGAATAACCGTAAATTGACATTCCCAGAATTCCCTGCATTACATTTCAAATTTGATGGTTTTTT